GGGGCGATATGCTGACTCTGTAAACTGCTTAGAGAGGGCTGAAAGCCCTATGAAGCGGTATATAAGTCTAACTGCTATTGCTATTGCTATTTCCTCATCTGCTGTCATCCACAGAAAGTGTAAAAAACAGAATCTTCATTTTCGTTTGTAGAGTACCTGTATGCAGAAATGTCCAGTCTTACACAGGCTGTCCTCAACCTATGACCAATTGGGACCAGATTTTCCATTTGCTAAGGAAAGTGGTTGTGAGTTGCACCCAGTTTTATGACCGTTTTTGCCACACTTTTAAGTGAATCCCACAGTCATTAAGCAAAATCAGCTTTGCTTGTCAGAAGTCATCTGGGAAGATCACAAATGGCAATCATATGACCTCCGCTGATATATGCTGGTGGCCAAGAGCCCAAATTTTGATCACGTGACCATGGGGAACCAGTCATAAATCAATTTTTTTTTCAGTGTCATTGCAACTTTGAACAGTTGTTAAACAAATGGTTGTAAGTTGAAGACTACACGTACTAAATGTTTACTTATCACCGCCTGAGGATCTGATTGCTGAGCAATTGTGGGAAAGGCAAGCAATGAAACTGTCTTACACTGAGCTAGATCTTTGGTCTTATTGTCAACCCTAATTGACAGTGGCTTGCCAAACTTTTGAAAACAATTAAATCCTAGCAATTCCTTGTATTCCTTGGAATTAAAACCAGGGATGTTCAGCATAAAAAATAAGATATAGTTCTTCTTTCGCAGTGTTATCAATTCTATCAGAAAAAGAACAGTATATTATGTGACCAAATTACTTGGGTTGATTATGTCAAAGGCTATTTGATTTATTGAAAATGTTTAGATAACTGCCCATCTTTGGCAACATAACTCTGGGGCAGCTCACAAATGACAAAAGAAACAATGAAAACACCTTGTGCCACTTGTTGCACCAAGAAATGGATACCTTCAAGGAAAGCTTGAACCCTCCACCTGCATTTGTGTGATCCAGCCATTTTGAGTGGACTAGAAACAACATTAAACAATCAAGGGCATTTTATGTGGCTGTTCCGTTTTTTTTCTCACCGAGCTTTTGCAGTTCGCTGGCTAGAGGTCAGCAGCAGGGCAGTAACAGCGCTCAAGAGATGGAAGAAGACAGAATAGAGAGCATTGGATTCCCCCACTACAAAGCGGTGCAGGAAGGCCACCCGACTGAAGATCTCTGCAAAGGCCACTCGTTGCTCGATGGCCGAATTCTGCAGTTCTTGGAAGGCCTGGTAGATGCCTGCAGAAGGGAGAGGAAAGACAAGAAGCCATTGCCCTCCCAGACAAACTGAGTGTCTTATTTGGGCCACTTAATACGGGCGTGTGACCATAATAAAATTGATTATTTGGGCCACTTATAGACACTGAATTTGTTATCTGTCTTTCACAAGCGTAAGTATATATAGATGAGGGGGTGTCAGTTTCTCCTAACCTGGTGGCCTTCTAGCATGTCTAGTTCCTGTTTCTGTAATGCCTTGAGTAAGATGCTCGCTCTCAGGAGATGGGACCAGAAGACAGGGCTTTTCTGTGGTGGCCCCGACACTTTGGAAAATCTTACCTTTGCCCTCCCATCACTGACTTTACGTAAGACTCTGAAAACTATTCACACATGGTGACAGGGCCGGCCTTCATTCTTCCTTTATACTGTATGGTTCCTGTATACTGGGAGTGGTGATGATGGATTTCATGGACTCCAAGAGTAGGAATCTTTGGATGGCAAGAAACGTTTTATACTGATTCAAACTGGTAGTCAGAACTTGAGACTTGTGGTAGCTGTTCAGGATTTCAAGGAAGAGTGTTTCCTATCCTATATGGGAATGGCAGGGAAGAATCTGGAATCTCCTATACAGGAAGACTATTTCTATCATTGAACAAGGCCCCTTGTAAAGTTGAGGTTCATTGTCTGTAATACCGAATTATCTCACCTCATCTTGCAACCTTATCATATTTTTTCTTCCCATCCGTTGTGCATTATATGCGTACAAGGAAGAATTAGACCAGGTAAACTCAACAGAAAAAGCTCAAATCAGTCTGTTACAATAATAATACCCAGTTATCAACCGTTCTATCTATCTAAGCCTAGACACCAGGCTAGAAATCAGGAGACTAAGTTCCAGACCTGCCTTAGACATGAAAGCCAGTGTTTGGGCCAGACACTCTCTGAACAATTGCCATTGTTAAGCAATGAGGTCACATGATATTGTAATTTATGACCTTGTATTTGAGCAGTGGAAATCCCAATTCTAAGAACTACCAATAATCACAATGTATGAAACAAGTACTAAGCTATCAAATTCCTGGGAAAAGAAAGCTTTGCACACATGGATTTATAAATCCCTTCATAACACATTCGTGCCTTTCTTTGCAATGTTTTTGGATAGCATAATCCAGGCAAAAAAATAAGTAAAGCTTGGAAAACTTTTTCCTGTACGAAATGAATTTTTACTCATATGTATCTTAAATAATACATTTCTAAATGTCTCATATTCCAAACATGTGCGTTCTGATTTACTAGACTCAAAATCTGTCCGGCAACATTCTGAGAAGTGCAAAATCAAAAAGGTCATTGATTTGCAATCCACTAATTAGGCCAGCTGGTCTAATGGATGACGTCTGGCTTGCATTCAGATTCCCAAAATTACCAGTTTCTTAAGTCGCAAACCATAGGTTGCAAGCAATTGAGCAGCTACTTTTAAATATAGTCACTACAGCACTTTTTAAAAAAAAAGCTGAATAAGGGTATCAAAATTTGCTTCTCTAAACATATTTTTATGAGCTTGAAAGTGGCGTCAGAGGTTTTTTGAGTCAATATACTAATGCTGTAGTGTACTCCAGTACTTTTAAGAATTGAAACTCCTGCCATACAATATAACACCAAAGGTTTTTGCAAATTAACAGAGAGA